TGAAGAATGGGAGGTCTAAACTGTATTTATTTTAGAATATATATATATATATATTTATCTGTCTTTTTATTAAACAGGTTCTGTATTTAACAACAATTGAAGCAGTTTTAGTAAATATATTTTCCCTGACCTTAATCTAATATAACAATTGACTGGAACCCGGCTAGATACAATGAATAAACAATAAAATAAGATGTCAAAATAAAATAGACATCTTAATAAAAAATAATAAAAATAAGCAACATGATCCTCTTTAATGCTTTGAAAATAAGTTCAAGGCTTTCTGTATGTTATGTTTTTTTTTTTTTCAAATTTAACATAAAACACGACATCTTAAAGTCAATGCCCAGTAGGAACGTGACTCCTCCCATTTTAGTAAAATTGTTCTCTGGGCTAAAAGAGAGCAGAAGGTTTGTAGGGATTTTATATTAAACACACGCATGTTTTAATTAAAACACAAAAGGCGCATAGAAAGTAGTTTAGTTATACCGGTAAATCAAATGCCTGAATTACTGTACGACTTTGTAGAAGGCACTTAAATTAAAATGTAGATTAGAGAGAAAGATGTTACAACAATGTAAGGGCATTTGAAATGCCATATATTTGGACAAACCTAACACATTTGTATATGTGTCACAAAAGTAGACCGTTGTCTACACTGGTCACAAGTGGAATCAAACTTATCCCTAATTTAATTAAATCTGGTTTTAGCATTATCCACCTTGAACTGGATAGATGTGTTAAGTAATTAAGAGTATATTCCATCAGTTATCTTCTAAAAGGTTTTATCTTAAATTTAACATATCTTTCCCATTTTTCCTTTAGCAACTGTGATGTAACTTAACTCATAATAAAACCCTTATTCACGATCAAATATGTAATCTAAAATAGATAAAGATGGAAGCCATCAGTCTTCAAGGCAATAAAGTTCCTGAGGTTTAAATACCTGACGTGAGAGCAGAGAGGAATCTTAGCCACCAAATGTTCAAATGAGCCAAAACATTTTCACAGAAAAGCTCCTTCATCAATGTTCTTCCAGATCTAACCCATATGTTGAAGGTCTTGTCCATGAGTGATTGCAAAAACATACAGTGTGTAGGAGGGGATGCGATAAAAGACAACTCAGACAATTTTAAGTGTCTTCTAAACTGATACATTTGAGTGAACGAATAACAATTTGATTTGTGGTGAAGCTGGAGGTGGTTTTGCTAAATTTAGCACATGACAAAGACAGCAATGAAGAATGTTTCACTGATACCTTTTCTAGTGTTACCAGTAATGGTAGACTGGTGTGACCTTTTATCCAGTATAGCATTGAAAACTTCGAAGTGCTAAGCACAATTCTAGGCTCTTCTAGGTTTTTTTTGTTCCTTTCAGATAAAAAGAAATAAAATAACTTAGATTATTCAAGAAAGATTTGGTCAGAAATATTGGAAAACACTGAATAAGAGAAAAGAACTTGGGAAATGCTTTTATTTTTATATTTGTTCTACAGTAGTAGCCATTCAAAATGTCCCCACTTTCCTTGATGGGCGGGCCCCTACAACTCCTTTCTAAACATCAATACTTCAGTGAAATACTATTCAAATACTATTCAGTGAAAGGGAGGAGTCAGAGTAAACAATATGCAAGAGGGGGTCACTCCAGTGGCTGGAAGTTGGAGGGATATTGCTGGGAGTTTCAGGGAAGTGGGCTGCCATTCGGTTGGGAAGGGCCATTTTGAATGGCTGCTACTGTACCTCCAAAAGAGGTAAAAACTCCATGATGATAAAGAAATGATGATTTGATTTGTATATTTCCCTGTGGGCCTTTGCAACTCTGTCTCAGATACCCAGATATCCAAACTTATGTAGCTTATTTTGAACAGGGCATAAGTAAGTATACAAAATACTCCCTGCTGTTCTTTATAGTTATTTCCTGGCACTTCCCAAAACCCACCTTACATCCAGATATTGTTTCAAGAGTCAAAAGTGTTAGATTATTTAACATATTCCAATGCCTGTATTTAAAGCAAATCATTTTTTTTTTTTTTTTTTATCAGGGGTCTGCGAGGGGAAATATCTTCTCTTTCATTGTATATGTATATGGCTATAATGCTCTTCAGTGGGGAAAAAGATGAGCTTCTGTTCATGCCATCACCATCATGCTGTTAAAAGAGAGCATTGTGTGTGGAAATTCAAAAAGTTGAGTGCAGTCCAGTGTCTCTGCTTATGTGACACATCGGCTCTGCCTCCAAGATGTTTTTCACAGATTGTCCTTGCAGCTGTATCAGAGGGTTTATGAGCAAAGTGGGCGATATGGAGGCCCCTGAAGGATTCTTGTCACGCCTCCGTTGACAGGATTTGAATGTCCCCGAAATGTTGCCAGAGTGGGATTGTCTATGTGTAATAGTGTCTGGCTTACAAATGTATTAGTGAAATGGCCTAAATCTATTATGGGTGTTTGATTTGAATAATCCTGATAGCAGATGGTCTGTTTCTGTGCTCATTTCAAGCATTAGAGGCTAAAACTGTTCCCACGCTTCTGATTCTGCTAGTTCCTAGAAATCTCAGCTTAGACGGAAGATAAACGAACCGCTGGATGTAAACCTGGATGGCTATTCTCCAATCTAATAAAAAAATTGTTAAAAAGCCATTTGGGTTTAATCTAAAATATTTTTTTACATAAATTATGTATATCTGCTTCTTTGTTTTTCAGAATGTACCTCTAAAATCATTTCAATCAATCTATCCAAATAAGTTAAGTTAATAAACTAATTACTTTTCAGTACTTGACATGTCACAATCCACTCTATGTGGTCTGACTCATTCCAGAAAGTTTAGCTTATATATTATTTACAGGAACCATGTACATTAAGGGACATTGCTGTAAATGCAGCAGATGTTTTGACTAGACACTTCCTAAGTAACTAGTTGAATTTCTAACTGTAGGAATGTGTGTCTGACATGCAAGTTCTTGCACCTGCATGTCTTTAAGGTTGTATTCTCAGTTGGCCTTCGTTCCACTGCAGATGAGCTGCTAGTTGAGCTGTGGGCTGGTAAAGTCCGCGTGGGGTTGAGTTCAAACAGTTACTGAGAGCTCTTTATCTTTACTGACAGATAACTTTAACACCACAGGCGTGACTTGCCCCCACAAGACTTGGAGTAAAGGTCAAACTTGTATCTGAACTTGAGTGGAGCAGCAAAGTGAGGAATGTTAGCTTTAAGATTTGGAGCGCAAATATCGACTCCCCCATCATTGTCGGTTTGTGCCCAGATGGCATCCAGCATGTCCAGATCATAGCTCATCCCAAGGGAGTGGGAAGCAGGAGATGATCACACCAATGCTTGTCTGGCCGGCACAACTGAAAAGAATTTGTTTAGTCAGCGGTTTCCTTTCGTCAATGGACCGGGAGTGTTGTTGTACGGGTGTTCACTCAGGGGAGAGAGGATTTGGGGGGGATAGGTTGAGTTATTTATTAGCCGGAGCTGTATAAATGGGAAAACTTCCATGAAAGACTATGGTGGAAATAGGAACTGGCAGCTCATGCCAACTGGAAATGCTTGGGGTGGCATTCTGCCCGGGTCTTATCGAAACGAGAATGTTGGCCGTCTGGGCGTTAAGATGGTGAGAGCTGTGCTCAGGTCAGGCGGCACAGTGAACTTTATCAAGATGATCAGATATGAGAGTGGCTGGCTGAGCTTTGTGCCTACTCATGAATGTCTGGTATTTTATACCACAGGATGTTTTTTCTCATTGCTTAACTAATTGTTTGTGATTAATTGTTTGTATCCATTTCTTTTCAAACAATAAAAAGAAATCAACATTTGTTGAGGCGGTTCTTTGAGTTGTTTTATGAGGTGCAGAGATGGCCAGTTTTAGCAATAAGCAAGATAAAGGAATGTCTCCTAAATATGTTTGTTTGCCCCTAAGAGAGTTGATGGCCAGAATGCGGGATAGTTTACCTCCATTTGTGATGTTTGGTTTAGTCTAGTGCTTTAAGAGACCAATCAAGTGGTGGATGTTCAGTCTTACAGATCTATGTGATTACAAAATGTTTTATAGTAAACAAACAGAGTAGGTTGCAGGATTACTATCTTACTGTTTTCGTTTTTTTTCCATGCCAAGGCAGTATTATTTTTTAAGCCTTTCAGTCAAACATCTTAAAGCTCCAGTCAAACTATTCCTGCTGTGCTTAACGACAAGCATTGTCGAATATACTACTATTATCTCTAGCTCTTAAATTAATATGGCTCTGTAATTTAGGCACAACGGCATCCCTCATTAAAAATTACTTTCCACCAAAACTGCAGGACAAAAAAATTCAAAAAACTATACGTAAAATAAATAAGCAGACTAGAAGCTAGTTATCTTTCAGTAAACGTTTTTGTATGATTTTTTCCCCGTTTTTTAAGTTTTGCATTGGAAGAGCTTGATGGATACAGCAAATTTTGAATGAACTGACTAAATTTTGCAATAAGTTTAGACTTAGTAAATTTTTTACTCGCATTACTGATTAGCTGTTTCTGCTAGCCCCCCCACCCCACTGCTGAAGGCAATATAATGCTATACCCAGACATACTCTTCCTGATTACAAAATAATGATGCAGCGGTTAAGGGCTGGGCTCGGTTTTTCCGAAATCTTGTGAAGTAGAAAGGATCTCAGATTTGTGTCAATGCAGCTGCTTGCTTTGGCTTTGTTTCTGTTCACATATGGGCCATCACAATCAACACTGAACATCTGTTGCTTGATTCCACACGGAGATGGGAAAAAGACAAAGCAGAAAACTGGATAACATCTTGGTGCATGTCCACTGAGCAAGCTTGGATAACTTTTTGTTTACATGCAAATTCTTGAGGGAAACTCCAATTGATAATAGATGGTTAAAGTAAACACGTCACAATGCCCTATTTCCTGTCTCCGCTTTTGTTTTTCCCTCCAGCCGCTCTGAGCCCATACTGGGCGTGACCTCTCTCTGTGTGGAGACTTCAACCCCAATAAATCTCTTTGTTTGTCTCAGGTGACTCAGGCCTCCAAGGTGTGGGGAGGGCTCACGCTTCCAGAAGATTTGGAGTCCAAAAAAGATATCCACGCATCTCCAAGTTTACTGGATGACGATGAGGACTTTGCAGCTGATGAAGGTTCAGGAGGTGGGCTCACTAAGGGGATGGGTAACCACAAACCACAGTAACAGCTGCCCTAAATTCACTGCAGTCTTGTTTTCAATATGCTGTTCTTAGTTAGCTCATCCCAAAATTAAATGAAAAACAAGGAAATGTTGCTTTGGGAGTCACAAAGAAACATTTTAAGATTTGAATTCACAAAGAATGTTTTTCTCCTATGAAATGGCACATTTAAGTGAGCAAAATGTCTGTTTTTCTGTCATTTGGGTTAACCCATGACCTCATTCTTACACCTCTGCTTTGTCCTCTAAAGACCGACCCAGTGGAGAAGAGGATGGCAGCACTCCAGAACTTGATACCACAAGTAAGCGTCCACACAAGTGAACGGAAGATTTCGTTTTTGTGTTGTAGATCAATTATTCTTTAAACACCCCTGCATCTGTGATTCTCATTCCTACATCATTCAGCCTGAGTGTGTGTTTCTCTGTGTATATGTGCGGGGAGGATCATGTTTTGGTAGCAGAGTATAGTATTTTTTCTGATTTTACTGTTAAAGTGCGGAAAGTCAAATTTGCTTTTGCAAAAAATGATTGATGTACAAAAAATAAAAGGGTTATTGTCAGGGTTAGAGTATAAAAAATGGTTGAGATAGTCAATGGTCCTTACTTCATATTGCAAGATGAGAATGTGGGTGCGTTTTTCTGAGTGCTGAATGATGAAACCTTCCTTTCTGCTGCACCTTCTCCTCCCTCGTTAGAGTCTGGCCATAACACGGGGCTCATGCTTTGTCTCTGAGACATGAACACCCCCCCCTCCTCTTTTATCTCTTTAAGCTGAGCCAAAGGTGGCAGCAAAATGAAAGATCAAAACATAAAGTGCTGATGAAGTAAGGAGACTTTGTCAGAGCCCGTCTGTTTTCTAACTTGTCCACTCCTTTTCCCTCCTTCTTTTTGTTTGCCTTGGCCTAATGTGTTTATACATGAGAAGCCCTGACTTGGGAATGAACTCGCTCCAAAAAACTTTCAAAACCTTATTTATAATAAATCAATAATAATCATAATAAATCAAACACATGGTGAGAAATTAGATATTTCATCAAAGATAGATTTTAATATCATGCTTTTAAGTCCCGAATTAGATGCAGCTTACTAATGAAACAGTGTAATACAATGATTGGGCTATTGTGATTGGGCTAAAGTGGACTGTAACTACAGTTCAACCCAGGAAGGGCAGTTGAAAGTTGATATTGTTCTACCTTTTATGTTTTATTTATCACTTCAATTTTTGGTTGGCAACATATTGTCAGGCTCAGAACAAGAGGACCCAGTATTCCAGGCAGAAAGACAGTTAGATTGAACAAAATGTTATGTGCAGAAAACAGCAACTGTGTCTAAGGCAGGAAGCTCCGGTCTTAAAGTTCAGTTCCTAGCCCAGAGGATGAGGTAGGTTCCAGCCGGTTGGCTGCCAACAAGACACGCTGAGCGGTACCATAGGGAAAACCAGGACAATGTCAGGAATCAGTTCCAGGTTTATTACACAGGCAGAATCCAGCAGGATCCTGGGGACAGGTCAGGCAAACAGATCAGAACGGGGACAGGCAGGTTTAGAGGCAGAACTGGTCAGTATCAGGCAATCAGAAACACTCAGGAACTCTCACCAAAGGCTGGAATAATCTGGCACTGATGACTGGCTGAAGGCTGGTTAAATAGAGACTGAAGCAGGTGGATCAGATGAAGGGTAATGAGAACTGGGTGGAGATAAGCAGGTGAATGAAATGAGTGATCAGGCCAGTCATTAGCGCCAAGATCATGACACATATTTAGGGAGAGATGGCAGAAAAATATTTTTAGCCTTCAGAATCTTTTTTTAACTTGAGTAAAAATATTTGTTTGCGTATTAATGTATCTGGGCACAAAATTTAGGATACTGAATCAAGAAATAAATGTTTAGATTTTTCACCGGTCACAATTTCTTTAAAAAATAATAATAATAGTTCAGTAATATTACGGTAGTACTTTCATATTGAAATAGTCTAGATGTTCTGCTGATGTGTTATTTTTGAATAGATGAAAAAAAATTAGGTCTGACCTTAAGGGCTATTACACTGTTTTTACTGAGATAGGTATGCATATGAAACTGTGCACAGCAACAGGGAAAATGTGGAATGAGAGGTAAAATATTTTCATGAATTTGGGAGCGCTTCTCCAGAGTTGATTGAGGCCAGATTCTGTGCATAAGGAGTCATCGCACCCAGACTATAACTAGATCTGGGCTATTAATATCGTGTTCCTTATGTCAAACCACTTTTGAACCAGATTCAACATCAGAGCTAAGGAGAAGGACCTGGAATTTTTGCATTTCATTTGGAAAACAATGTCACAGAGTTTGAAGGAGGAATAAATCTGTTTCATTGAGTGCTTTTCAATCAACTTTTTCTAATACAAATTTTGAAGTATCGCAGCAGATAAGCTTGATGGAAATGGCAAAACTTGAATAATCTAAAATAATTTTTTGTGCTCGCTTGAGGTGGTTTGCATTTCCTTTTTTTTATTTTAAAAGTTCGCTTAAAAGAAAAATGTTTAAGAACTTCTATAAATTTGTCATTTCACTTTTTTTTGTTCTTCAAAAAACATTCAAGAAAAACACTTTTCCACAATCTTCTAATTATTTAACAGGTACCTTTAAAGTTCTAAGATGACCTTTGCCTACAAAAGTCAACCCGTTTGGATGTGATCTGTTTTTAGAGAGAAGAATCATATCCATTTCTGTGATAAATGTGAAAATAACAGTTATAATCCATTAAGAAGGAAATTGAATCAAAAGAAAATAAAAAAACAAGCTATTCAGCACATATTACAAAAACATGGGCAATGGGAAAAAGTATTGCAGATGCTGGACCAGCTGAGCTCCAGTCACAGCCTTTCCTGACTCTAAATCTGTGAGATATTGCATAAAATTATGACTTTTTTGATGGTGAATAAGACTTAACATCAAAAAGGATTCAATGTTCATACTCTCAGCCTGAATGAAACTAAATGACCCTGGAGGGTCATATACAGTATTTAAGAAAAAGGCCTGGTCATTCCATACCTCCTTTTTCATTTCCTGGCACTTTAAGCTTTCAAAGCTGATTACATCATGGTGGTTTGATTGTTTTGTTAGCTGTACTGAAAGCTGACATCAGAATAGGGGCTCATAGCGTCATGTGCCTGGCTTTCAGAAACAGCTTTGCATTTAGGCCTTGCATAAATATGATCAGTTTAAGGAGCACAGGAAATTTTAGCCTGTCGTTAATGAGGAGGGTACTGACAATTTGATAATGTAACAGATGAGAATAGTAAGTTGCAGACTGTTTTTAGTCCTTCAGCAGGGGAAACAAACACCAACAGTGACAGAATAAGAGCTGCATCTTTCTTGTAGACTTACCTTTTTTTAAACATTTTTATTTTTTAGCATTTTGCAGTAAGCTGAGCTCACATTAATAGGTGATTTTCTCTGCTATTCTCAGATTGGCAGATAGTAGTGTAGATAGAAGTGAATGTACAAAGCATATTTATAGTTAACAAAGACATTTTCTGTGAATTTCTCTTAAATTATTGTAATTTCTGCCCAAATGTGATTAAAAGTTGTGTTATGATGAGATAAAAAGAAGGTCGAGATGCAGGACGGATAAAAGTTCTTATCTCAAGGGTGATTTGCAGACTTTCATTCTCCACAGTGTGTTCACTGCGCTATGATTGGAAGAGGCAGAATATTTCCATATATAGATCTGAGCTGCAAAAGTCCTGGGAAGGAAACTCAGCTTCCGGTGCTGAATGTGGAATAATTTGCTGAGCAGCTCTGTCCACGCTGCCCACCCAAACCTCTGCCTTCCTTCCTTTTGCAATCCTTTAAAACAGGAGCGGCTACGTCGGCCCCCATTATGCTAGGTTTCCTGTCGTGTGACTGTTTGATGAGGCTTAAGGCATGTCCATTTCCTCTTTTGCCTGTCCAAATCAGTGCAAAACATCTGGGATTTTAACTCACCAAAACAAGACCTATTTTCAACCATCCTTTGTCTATTGTTGCTATCAGTCCAACGTAATCACACTCTGCCATCTCCTCTAGAAAGTCGAGAGTAGTGTCTCATGTCCTTATAACCTTTCATCCTAACCTCCGCTCTGAGAACCCAAAGACATTTCTGGAGGATGGCACAGGCCCGTATGGTCTGTGAGAGCCTTCTCTTGTTCTTTGGACTCTCCGAAGGACTTTCCCACTGCACTAATAATGTTGGCCATTATTGTTGGAAATTCAAGACACAGAGGTCATGTCCACTTATTTGCAGTGGTTCCCAAAGTAAGTCCCCAAATGGGAGCCAAGTGCAATTGCAGAGGGTTTGTATTAGACAAGAATTGAATAAATTGCCCATTTTGAAGGATATATTTTTAAAAGTTAAGGCAATGACCATTAAATGTGCTAGTTATGTTATATGGCTATACACAAAACACCAGAAATGATTCAATTTTGATGAAATAAAGTTGTACACAAAGCGTGTATCCTGATATTTAGGCTTTTTTGAGCCTAAATAGAATTCAAGCATCAGGCACCATGAGCAGACATAAACAGACATAGCGCCATCTGCTGGCAATATAGAGGAACCATCAGAAAGCAAGCTAGCAACAACTAATTAGAGCCTAACTGTCCTGCAATGCCTTGTGGTAAAGTTACAGCTCAGTGTGGTTGAAGACCAACCAATACTATTTCAAAAACGTTCTAGTCAATCCTCCCCAAAGTCCCCTATCAGATTAAGAAAGACAAACAGAGACACATCTATCTTCCTGTCTGACTGTCTCTCTGTCTGTCTGTAAAAAGTATATAGGCGTCATCCAATACTTCAAAAAGAGTAAGGATGTATCACATTACATCTGATTTAATGTTTAGAAATGATGCAATCAGACACTCATTATGTGCAAGATCTGGTATTATTTGTGTTGCCTTTAAGCCAATTCAATGTAGTTTTCTTTTACTTTTAATGTACTACTACTGAAATGTGACAAATAAATAAACTGGCTTTGCCTTTTGTTAATTCATTCTTTTTCCAATAAAAGCTTTAGGAACCATTCTTAGTAGTGAGAACTGTATATATGTTAGGACAGGGTAAGAACTTCCACCGGCAATATCTACTGTTCACCACATTTTCATCTGATCTCCAAATGGTTCAACTTACTCACGGTGCGCAGAGTTGCCAAAATGTTTACACAAGTAGGACTAGAAATACTTCCCAGGATTATTACTTAACTGGAATATAAGTGAAAATATTGACAGTTAAAAATGACAAATAATTAGCTGATATCAATACTACCATTGATTTCAGCCATGATGGCAATATTAATACCTGATATCTATATCAGCCCAGGTTTTCATAAAGGTGCTGCCCTAAAACAAAGATATAATTTTAGCTTTTTTTGTTGCCTTTTAAAAGATAGGACTTTTAATAAACAGTAAATTAATGGATCTGTTGGTATGGAAGCTGAGAAGCAGAATATTTAACAGGAAGTTTTTCTATGCCTAAACAAGTACTAATTACACCAATTACTTGTGATTCTTGCCGACGAGATGCAATCAAAACAGATTATTCCATTATCTCATTAAGAGAACAAATGTTGCAGCAGGAGCGCAGAAGGTTGTCAAGGTGACGCTGTCTTTGCTGTTCCTCTGGCCAGCCCACAACCAGACCACCCAACCACTTTAGCTGCTGTTCTTTGGCGGGGGTTTTCGTCTCACAGTGGTATTACCTTTATGAGTGCGAGACTGAGGCCGACTCTTGAGCAACAGAGGGATGAATGATGGCAGCTGCAGTTGTTTTGTTTTTCTGCAGTGAGGGCCTCAAGGTGGCTCTACGTTTATTTCAAATGGCTTTCGTCACATGTGTACACATAACCAAGCAGACAAAATAGTGGTGCTGAAGGACACACTTGTGTTTCGTCGTCTCCTCCCTTCACAAACAGCTGATTGCATGCATGAGTATGCATGGTTCAATCCAGCTCAATGGTCTTAGTCACTGATGTGAGTCTTATGACTGAACCCAGCTCCATCATCCTTCTCTCTGTTGTGCCAACAAGAAATGAGTTACCTTGGAGTTGTTCAGTGTGCCACTCCTCATGAGGATAGAAATGTTTGGGCAGCCAGCACAGATGGTTGGATACATTTTTCTTCAGCTGCAGATTTAAGTCTCCTAGATCTAGGTTTTATGTTTTGCATAATGATCTATGCAACACTTCACACTAAAGACAGAGCACAGATTAGAGTTTATGGCTTGGCTCTCAGTCATACTGTTGTTTTCCAAAATGTGGCTGAAGCGTAACAGTTGATCAGTGGCTTCCTGTTTAAACACAAGGGAATATCCAAATAGAATAATGTATCTCCTGAGGGTTATATTCCCTAAAACCATGGGTTATGTTTTAAGCGAATCTCTGTGAAGCTGTTATAAGACGTTAGACCTGCTGTTGTGAAAGTGTTTACTTATATTATCTATTTAACCACGGTGAATGTTTATGGACTAAAATCTGGCTGTTTCAGTCTGATTTTAGCCATTTCAACTGATGCTATTTTTATACTCAAATACAATGGTCTGCACTCCCACGGGAAAATGTCCTTGTGTTTGTCACTCTTCTGCAGCCACAAAGCATCTGTGTTACATTAAATAATGTCAGCTCATCCTGCCTGCTGCTTCAATCCCCCTGATTAGCTGCAGCTCCTCAGCCACTAGGGTTTCTTTTGAATACTGTACTGTGCAAGACCAAGACAATCCCAGGAACAGATCATTTACAACAGATGGCATGTGACAGAATCCAAAAGGTTCATCCACCTTTGGCAGGCTGCATTCACACCGAACATGTTATGAGCGTCAAGAAGGCGCCAAACTCCTCATTGTGGATGCTTATGTTCATTAAAGTCAGATGTGCAACATTAAGAATGTTTTTGGTGCCCTTGATGTACGTTGAGAAGGGTGTGTGCAGACACTTCTTGCTGGTCTCTTGTGTTTAGTTGCAGATGCAATGAAGATGATTTATTTACTCTGATTAATGGGAAAAAGGTTGTTTTAAAGATGTTTTGAAGTGCACTTCAAAATGGCTACCATGCAGTTATCCAGGATTGTGATCCTACTTTGAATTCGGTAGACTGTCACTGGGAGTCCAGTAAAGACATCTTCAATCTTGTCAATTACTCTTGGATTTACCGCACCGTCTGTAGCAGCTGGAGGTGAATAGTGTTGTTTAGTTTGTAACATCTGCAAGTACCAGAATATACAATCAAACATATTTCATTGGTAAGTTTTATTTTATTTTGCCATAATCAAGGAATAAAATATTTTAGTGGAATAATCAGAGCACTCTCACTTTAGTTTTTACATGAAAAAAAATGTTTCCATGTTAACCTAGTGAAGTGCAGCGCCTTTAAATGTATTTATTCTTGTTCCTTTTAGTTTAGTTTTATGCTGACAGCTCTACAGGAGCAGAGATCATGGCTCGAATGCAGCGACTGTCTTCCTGCCAGCTCCTAGCATCAGATTCTCTGAGATTTCCCAGCAGTTGAGTCTGACACTTTGGAGATGCTTCAAACATTTTAAGGCTTGGAAGCTCAAAACGTGCTTTGCCCAATGCTCAAAATCATTGAAGATGCGCTGCGCCGTGCGACAAAATGCTCTGTATGATCTCTTGACCTTCCTTGATGCGCATCCACCGTAGATTTTGCATGTAAACTGGCTCTCCCCAATGTTCAAAGCGTGTTCGTATGAATGCAGAATTATGGTGTTTAAAAGTACATAGTTGCGTTATGTGCCTATACCTAAAAGATCAAAATAAAGTTGATTATTATGATATAAGGCTATGTACTCCATGTGTCCGTCCTGATAGTGTTCTGATCGTCCCGAACCTCGGCACCTGGCACCATGAACAGACGTGGCACTGTCAACAGGCAGTACTGCTGAACTAGAGCCAGATGGTGGCCGTTAATGCAAGCTACTAGATAACTCAGAATCGTGCCGACCATGTTGTAATACCACATGGTAAACCGACTCATGGGCATACACAGGGCCTATCTTTAACAGGGGGAAGATGGGGCTTAATAGTATGACTAAGACGAGTAGCACTATTAGCAAGGACATGTACCCACGTGTCTATCTACTTCGCAGCCACATCAGAAAACTTCCTGAGCTTTAGCTCCAGTTTTAATGTAATCCAACGCTCTTTCTTTTGAAATCAAATCATCTTGTTGCACCTTTTTTTTTTCTCAACTACATTGAGCTCCACAGTCGCTCACCTCCAGTGTTGTAATCCTGTTCACATGATCTTGCTGTGGTAAATATACACAGAAAGGCTATATTTAGAAAAAAGAACAAAGCTTAGAATGCAAGCCGGATACAACCAAAGTGAGTTGTTGCTGGTACTATATATATACCTTATGGTGGTATTTGTGCACAGAAGTCAGTTTCCAGTTGGAAATACAACTTAAAAAAGGCGATGAATGTCCTTGCAGCATCACTGATTTGTTACATTCAGAAATGGTAGCCCTATGAACACATAAATCCCTGACGAGAATTAATAAAACTGATATTCCTTCCATTCCCTGGCTCTTCTAATGCTCCTATAATGAAAAGACAGCTCTATATCATCAGACTTTGAAGTATGATCGGTTCATTAGCTCTAATTAGCTTGGCCTTCTGTTCTTTTGGAGAGGCCGTATTTTCTGTCATCCTTTCCCTTGATGAGCTTGAAGCGTCTGCCATTTAGTTTCTTCGGTTTAACAGTCTCCCCTTTACTTGCCTTTTGCACTGAGCTGCTATAGATACAGTCAATATATAGTAAGAGTTAGGGTGTATTTTTTTTCAACTCATTTCAAAATCTGTCATTAATGAGCTTCAGGTGCCATATGGTTTGCTGCATGTGCAGTCATGAAACAGCTGGATTCAACAACAAATGAGCTGCTGTTTATTGAGGTCTACTGAAGTTTATGGAATAGAGTGCTGGAGTCCAGGCTGGAGCCCAAAATCTGTCTGTAATGTGGTCCATTAATATAGTTTCTAAAAAAAAAAATGTATCAAATGATGCTTGTAGTCGCGATATAACACTGTCCTTTGTGCAAATTGTCCCATCCATGTTCCAGAACGACTCCAAGTCCTCTTTAGTTTAGGTTTTATAGCCTGGTTCAGTGGTGCGAGTGGAAGATCCAATGAGTCACCATAAAACAAAGAAGGCTCATTGTTGCTTGTTCCATTGCAGAGAATTCTGATGGCACTGAGTTCTTCCACAGGAAAAGGAAAACAGGAAGGACTCATCCTTCTGAAGCGGCACCATCTCTGGGTGGATGTCTGCGTCAGGTAGAAGAAATGTACAAAAAGATCAGCAGGATGGGGTCTTGTTTGTTGATTCAGACCATGGCTGTCCTGCAACCTTTCCTCTTAGTTCCTGGTGTGATCTAGACAGACACTCGGTCTACAGAAGCCATTGTTCCCTTAAGCATGGATGGTAGTGATTACTCCGACTGTCATTTATCTGTGTTGCACTTGGTACTTTTATGTTTTGTTGATAAAAGTTACATTTCTTTATCTGATTGTCTTTTTCTGTTTTCTCTCTTTGTTTCCTCTGCCTGGCTAACTTTGATCACTCCTTTCTTTGTCTTGCTTTGCTCTTTACAATTCCCTTTTTGGCTGCTTTTTGTGCTCTGTCAATCCCTGTCTTACCCTCCTGTTGCTTGCTTTCTGCTTCCTTCCTTTACTTTTAGCTAATACCCGGCAGTTGGAGTCTTGGTATCTGAGAAACATACAGAGCCCAAATGAGCCGGAATACAGTAAGTCTTCAAGCACTTCTTTCCCCCTTCTTTCTTGTTTTGGCAGACTCTGCTGTCACCTGCTCCTCTCAGTTATGCTCACATTTCCAAACACACTTAGATAACATTTCAGGAAAGATTGAGCTCGGGCATGTTACGCTTTGTATCTGCTGACTGTATTTTTCCGAGCACTTTTCTCTCTCCCTCTCAATGATTCTTAATGCCAATGGAAAAATGATGGGAGATGTTCCATCAAGCAAAACGAAGCTTATCACGCTCCAGTGACAGCACCTTCATTACCAGCTGGAAAAGATGTCTTGGAAACTTGCAAAAAATGCACAGCTCCTCGCTTTAATTAGAAAAGTGTGTTGAACAATTTCTTCTTTCTCCCAATATGACAAACCAGCTGTTACTGTGTGCAAAAAAAAAAAATGTGGGCAGTAGTTGGTTTGATTCTGATTGTGACTCTGCAAGCTGTGGGAGAGCACACAGAGGCCAGCTTAATGGTAAAGGCAAGATTCATCTCCAAAGAGCCTCCCAGAGGGCACAGATTGGGCCTGGAGACACTTTTTTGGCCGTGAACCAGTACAAGAGTTAAATAGTAGGCGTCTTGTCTGCAGAAATGGAGCTAAGGCAGAACCAGCTGGTAAATTGGTATACAAAGATGCACAGGCTATGACTGATTTTATGACTTTCAGGTTTTGTAATGTATTTTCCTGATGATAAAGATTGTATTTCATGTATTATATTGAGAAATATCTGATGCATTCAGAATACTTTATTATCGCCCTCCAGTTATGTGGCTGTGTAATTATTTCCGTTAAGAACTGAGGTGATGTCACACTGCATCTGTTGAAGAGCAATGACTGAAGCTTTCTCTCTATTTATTTGAATTCCTGTCTTTTGGATAACATCCACCATTTCTCTCTAGGCATTGGGCTACCAGGTGAGGTTTGGACTATTAAGTTTATGGTTGACTTAATAGGGTAGCGATGTAATCAGATAATTTACTTAAGATTAATTGTCAATTAATGGTTTGTGAGATTAAAAGTAGATCCATCGGATTAATTGATAATGTCCGCTAAAAAGGAATTTCTCTCAGTGTTGTAATGTTACCAGCGTACGCTAGAGGATGCAATTGATCATTCTTAAGCAGATCATCATTGTTGTTTGCAAATAAAAAAGTAGAAGAAATGTATCTACCCAATGTATGCCTGTAGCACAGTCCGTACGATCAGCTCAGAACCAAAAATGCATAAATAGACCAACATGACTTTTTTCTGTTACCAGTTTGATAAAGTGTACTAAACAACATAATCTATAAGGTTAATAACAACTTTTCTGAGATAATAAATGTGTTTATATCATTTTTATTGTATTATTCATCTGAACCAGATTTGCTCTAGAAATGCAATCCTTTCCCTGCTTCTGGCAGCATTTTTTGGCTTTGGATATGTAAATAACTGTTGTCATTTTTGGTTTTATTTCATCATAGCTACATAGTATACAGTATGTAATCTAAAAAACAAAACAAAAAAAATACAGATAAATGTGTTGCAGTCATATTTTGCAGGTAAAGTTATTATTCTATACAATGTAGTTTAGTATGATTTACTTTAAATATATAATAACCGCATAAGCATTGAATAAATGTCTTAAGTTATTACCTAAATAACCCCCATTTAGGCGTGCTGCATAGCAGAGCAGCCTATCTTCTGGAGAGCAAGGATGTGATTATAGATATGTGGAGGGTATAATGCAACAATTTTGTAACATGATAGAAAATACATGCTAGGAATTGGCATGATAGATGGGGAAGGCTTTTGTGAACTGATGCACTTTATAGAACCAAGTTTTAAAAATTCTCTGAGAGCAACCAGAACTTCCCCTTTAAAAGCGCTGCTAGCAGCACAATGTCTTTCCAAACACTGGTTGCTGCATTACAATTAAAACAGAGAGCTTGTCACAGTTAGCATCCACTTAATTGAAACGAAATTACAAATATGTCCCATTTACACTACCCTCTTGAAACCGTGCCGAGATCGGTCCAAGCATGGTAACCGAGATAACTGTTGAGTGTAAATGACATGCACACCGTGCCAGACACAACTGAACCGTGCTAAAGTGGTACTAGTTCATCAGTAGAGCTCACGTTGTTCTGTTCTAGCTTCGTCCCCAGATAATAAAGGGCGCCTGAGCAGACCGCGTCATCTCCTTATGCTACGTTAAGACCGGAAGCAGCAGAAGCAGCTAGTTTACATGCAAAAGCAAAGGTTGATGTGCATCAAGGCGAGGCAAAAGGTAGTCATAGGTAGTGATCAGGTCTAATTAAGCTAACAGTTATCTGATTTTCTATTATTGTATGTTTTTCAATGCAGTTTTTAACGTGATCTTAGAAATTCTACATATTGCTCCCTCTTTAAATGGTTTTACTGTTGCAGTGGGTGCTAGCTTCGGGGTTAAAGGTCAAGCTCTGTGTGGTTGAACTTTAAAGGCCCAACTCTGCTTGCTGCTCAATCATTTCTTTGTCTTCTGCATTGGCCTCCCTGTGTTTGGGGGGGGGGAGTTCAACAATGCTTCCATTGTTCTACAGAAAAACTTTAATAGCTAAAATAAAAGGGTATAATGCTAGTTTTATTTTTACTTTTTCTTTCTTTCTCAGTTCTCTCTGCAAACGGACAGTTTTGTCATTTTTTAAACAGTATTTGGGCTCAACTGAGGAATATTTAGCCTAAAACAGAGGAATCTTGGAGAATAGGTCTTGGAGTGAAAGTGCCGCTCATTAGCCACGGGGCACATCCTGGCGCTTCAATCAAAGGAACGCAATCATGCTCATCACCCTGTGGCGGTAGGCTCAGAGACGGTGGGAGCTATGAACCACTGTTGACCTGGCAGCAAGTACCCACCCAAATGATTAGATTATATGTGGGTCAAATAAGATTCTTTTGTGAGTAACTTTGATGTTTTCCGTTTTCCTGGCCAATGTTTAGGGTGACCTAGAGTTTCTATAAATCTTAATAATTGCCGCCTGAGGTGAAACACCTCCAGATTGTGCAGAAACTCATAGTTCTGTTGATATATGTTGACCTCAGTGTTTTCACAGGCAGAGCACTGTTTACTTTTTCATAAATTTCGCTTTTTCTTCTCCTGGAATGAGATTTCTTGAAGAGGTAATGCTGTATGGGAAGAAAATGGAGCTTAATAATGTCCAATGAACCAGTCTGACTTTGAAGCATGCAACCACCTTATTATAGAAGTTAAATTAAAGGTGATATTTGGTTATTTCCAGCTAGATCTGTGAAAATTGGATCTAAAATTTTGGATTTATTTAAAAAAAAAATCATTTGAAGTTAAAGACTCATTTAACAGCTCTCACATTAGGTGTCTTTGTCTTTTTTTCACAATTTAGTAGGAAATAGTAGTCTGTAATTTAGTATTTCAAATGTGGCATTTACATTTAGGTGACATCCAAGGATTTCTCAGTGGATGTTAAATGAGCCATTTGTACGCTGAACGAAATAAATCAGCAACTGCAACAGTAGGAGTAGCCTAATTATCATTTATCATTGAAAGGAAAAAGAAATGAAATGAGAAGCAAGAAGCATTTTTAGCGAGCGCGGGTAAAACTCTTTGCATAAAACTATCCGTCATTTAGTGCATCACAACTAAACCATTCATTTTTTAAAGTTTTTCTTTGGAAGTTGGCTTCAATTCTTTTACCTTCTGCCTTGAGTTTAAAATGTTCAGCAGCACTGTTTACTTGTTTGTAGAAGAAGCACAACACTCAAAATGTATATCTTAACACGTGTTTGTATACATTTTTTCTATGCGGGTAACCCTGTCTCACAAACATAAGTGTAAATGTTGGACAATTCCTTCCAAATTGTTTATTAAGTAAATTAAAGTAAATTTAATTTATTAAAGTAAATAGTTTATTGGGCAAAAGTCAAAAGAAGAACATACTTGCAACGTGACATACTTGAAAACGATGTGCAGTGGATGAAAAAGATGAAAGCTAATAACTATTTGATTGGCTCGAGGGATTAATCATCCTTCAGTTGATTCACATTTTATCTGCAAAGATGTTGGCTGGATGGCTCTCTAGGAAATCATCTTGTTGATTCAAAAATAATCTTTACTTTCAGTCAGAATGTATGATCTTAAGCATATCTTGGGATTGAGACCTCAGTCTTGGCCTTGAGACGGGTCTTGAGACCATTTTCTCCCGATCTTGGCCTCGGACTGTGATCCCTCGGTCTTTTATTGTTGTGTCTTGAAAAAATTGTTGAAGACCAGTTAGAGGCCCTATAGTTTTTCAAAAAAGAAAACAATATCGGCTTAAAATTCACATCTCTAAAATAATAAACGAGTAAAAACGATATGATACCAAAACACAGATGGTTGCACTAAACCTGGACGTTATAAATCTAGCGCCCCTAGTGGCTAAAAGCTATACAGTGGTGCTTTAATATCAGAGTGGCTATAATAAACTGATTCAAATAATGTTTAAGCATAAAATGTTCTGGAAGTGCCCTAATTGTTCATGGAAGGCTGACTTAAATTCACTTCAGACTCTAAAGAAATACTGTAACGAAGTATCAAATAAGAAAAATCCCAAAAATCCTCTAAATAATTGTGTTTCCATTGTAATTTTTTTTTTTTTTTGCACATTTTGAAGTATTGCATTAGAACAGCTGGATGGAAACACAAAAAACAAACCAATATACTGAATTTCTATATACCTCACAATCATCAGATGGCATGAACCATCGCTAACGCTAGCTGATAATAAAGTACAACTTGCCCTATTACAAAACATTCATTAAAACCTCTGTCCATCACTGATCTGTGGTGTGCGTTGACAACTTACAGGAAGCGAAATGTCTTCAAACTTGGAAACAAAGTCAAATTCAAAGAATTAACAGGTTACAGAGATGTGCTTTCAGCGTTTTTTTTTAGCCATGATTACATAACTATTAGGTACATTTTGCTAGATGTTTAAAGAATAAAATAAGGTAATATAATGGCTAGAGTTGATACAATCCATATTTGACTGGCTGAAAAAAAAAAAAAAAATTCATTGATTTCCAAACAGACAGAAACACATACAAGGAACAGCATTGTTTTCTGACGTTGGCAGTTGCCAGATCTGTTTATACATTTTAGTTTAATTACACATGTTTACTGTTTGTCCGCTCCTCTACATTTCTGTGACAGTAGACACAACAGACTTCTTCTTCCCCCCAAACAGCTCCTCTCTGATATCCCCTCTGTCGTTTTGAATGCAGAGGCTAGCAGTTCCAATAAAATGTTGGCAGTCAAGAATGGGGCACCCTACTGGCCTTTCTCTATTTTAAGTTTCGGATACTTGGCCGCTGACAGAGGAATTATAATAGTACAGCTGACATTTTAGCTTATAATGAGTTGCACATAAACATTACAGAAGACATCTGTAAGCTTTTCTGGATAGAGTGAAAACTTTGAATAGTTGAAGACTCTGAAGAAAATGTTGTCGTGTTAACACAACTTTGGAAACAGTTAATCTTTAAAGATCTCCGTCTACATTCATTTGCTTCTCATGGGGTCATAAAAGCCTATTTCAACCTACAAAAGCTTTCTAAATCCTTTAACCTTTTCACATTTTGTCATGTTAGAAAGACAAACTTCAATGTTTTTCACCTGTAAAAGGAGACTTGCCGTTCTGGAGATTTTAGTAGTAAAAAACTGAAAACTAGTAATGCCCCTTCTGTCCTATGAAAAACATAGGACGATGTTATTGTAATATGAACAAATATAGAAAAGGGCAACTGTTATGAAAACTTTTTTCTCTTCACTAAACTAATCAGAATAACCAAATGAATCTGTGCATATAAAGCCATCCTTAATACTACGGCTCGAGAGATACTAAGTTTGGTTGTCTTTGAGGTTATGATTTCTATACCTAATGTCTCTGGCGGGTCTTCGTCTTACATAGACTTTATGTTTAGCAGAACATAGGAAGCCTTTTGTCACCAACCTTGGTTTTAAAATGAAGAGGGATTTTAAACTGGATGGCCAGATCAGAGCAGTAGTGATATCCAGTTTTTCTCACCTGTGGTATTTGGCTAAAATAAAAGGCAGTTTGTCAATAGATTACATTAAAACAGTACAATTCATACAACTTAACTTGATTGATTGACTGATTGATTAAGTCTTTAATTAGTCCTACCCCTTCATATAGCTCCATGCTGCTTCACCTATTTTCCCCTTGGTGGTATCCTGGTCATGATTGAACATCAGGTGATTTTAGACTTTTTTTTTCAATGCAGCTCCCAAACTATGGAATGCTTTGCAGCCATAAAATGGAAATATAATTTCCCTTTGTGATTAATAAAGTATGTATGAACTGAATTTTGAATTGAATTCTCTTTGGCATTTGAACTGATACCAGTTGTTAAATAATTGTACTTTATATTGCTGCTTTTACTTGATGTAGTTATTTAGGATTATAAATGTTTATCTTAGTTATTCTACTTTTTAATGTTATTATTTATTGAAATAATTCATTCCTTTTTTTCAGCACTTTGGTCAGTGCCTTCTAAGCTGGCAGTAGAGCTGAGTTGAATTCTACATTATCAATTGGGGATGGCTGCGCCTCAGTCTGTCCGTGAAAAGGAGGGACATTTAGTACAGTACTTCAAGCTGATTGGGTGACATGCCAGCTATTACCCGCCTTCCATAGTACACTTTCAGCCAAACATAGCGGCGTAAGCTTATAAATCAAAACTTTTTCAAATGCTGTCTGAAGAAAAGCACAGACATCTTTCCCATCTAAAAATGAACAAAGTCCTTCTCTTTGCTCCTTTTTCAAATGAAAAATTGTTGCTATTTTATCTAAAACCTCCAGCGTAGCCATGTTTGTAATGGCCTTTCTGGCAATGTTTGCTCTGAGCTAATCACAGTCACAAATAAAACAGCAGAAGAAAACACAAAAACTCTTGTACTCTCTTTCTATTTCTCTTGACAAAAATGAAACCATGAATTCTGATCAAACTGATGAAATAGAAGCAGCTACGCAAACTTTGATTGTTGCAAACGCTGCAAAATACGGTTAGGCCATTTTGGGTTGGTCATGTGTTTCCAATGCACAAATATCTCAAGGAATTCAGCTGGCAGGGAATGTTATATTTCACCAGTTGACCTTTATGTTAAAGGCCAAGATAAAGGGATAGATATAATCCCTGCTGCCCCATCAATGCTCCCTTACCCTCTAGGTGTGTTTTCCCGGTGAGAAGATTTACTTATTCTTCCATAGCAAATCAAATTAAAGACCTACTCACCACCCAGCAGAGTCTCTGCAGGCATGCATTGCCCATTTATCTCTAAATATCGACTGCTGGACTCTATCTACAAGATGATGCATGTAAAATACCCCGAAAAAAGTACCCTATATATTTCTGCATCAAATAGGCCTGTCCATATTGAGATCCCGAAATAGATGCCATCATTTGTGGCAAAGCTTTTCTAAAACATTTAGCCTAAATGAGGTAAATGGCAAACATTATGACATGACTTGATTGCAACGTGTAAATCACTTTTGAGTCTGTGGTTCTGGTTTGTTATTGTGTTGTTTAGCTGACAGCTTCTCCTCCTCTCTCTCCATCTCCAGTTTATTATCGAGCTCTGGTCAACTTCACCAACTCCGTGGTGTATGGTCCTGAACTTGAGGATATCTTCTCTCCAGAGTTTAAGGAGATTTCTGAAGCAGTGATGGACACGGTACGTCTTTCAACCCTATTAACCTGTTTAGCTGATTTAAAAGATTAGAGGGTCTGCTGCTTTATCAAAGCATAACTTTGATAAGTTTAGTTTTCTCTTTACAGCTGGAGTCAGAGTACAACAAGATCCTAGGTGTCCAGACAATCAACGTGGTTCTCATTAAGTAAGAGCACAAACCTTGCAAGGGCTATTTGACTTATTTAAATTAAAATCTTGGAGCCATTTCCCGTGTTACCATGCAGTATGTGGCCTTAATAGGTGGTTTTATTCTGCAGAAGGATAAAAAGAGATGGTAGAGACGATGTCTTTGTGGAACTGGATGTGGGCTCTACTAACAACAACAACGAAGAACAGCTCCGCAGCGTCCTCTACAACGTGGTGAAGGAGGGAACCATAGCCTCCTACGTGACGTCAGTTGAGGGCTTTCAATTCAGACAGCTAGGAAAAGGTAAGGGTGAAAATACCCATACCTGTATGTCTTAGCAAGTTATGGTCTACCCAAACATTAGGCATTTTCTTCAACGTATGCCTTTTTTCTAGTAGAAACTCTGCCTTCAGTGGACCCAATAGCAATACCAGGTTTGTACTGTACCATGCCTCCAGCATGGTGAGGAAGCAGATTTTGCTGTAGAAACTGTAGAATGACCATAGTGCATTCATTCTGCTGATATTTAATGATGGCCATTACTTTGACATGGAGATGCGGTCTGAGGGAATGTTTTGCATGGAAGCACAAGCGTAGAGTTTTGGCTGCAATCCCTGAGGTTCCGCACACATAGAAAATGAAACGACCCTTGCATGGCATGAGCGTGATGGAGAATGCTATTGTTCTATGCAACATGACGCAACATTTGGTATCTGTAGGTTCCACTAGCTTGGAAAACAGGCATGATATGTGGTAGGATTTTAAGTAGAACATATTGATGTCTGGATGGGTTGACTTCCTGTACTGCCATTTTCACACATGAACAACGGAGGAGTAAACTCCAGAGGACAAATATCAATTCAAAGAATTTTATTTTTCCTACAATGAAAACCTTGCGATAGAGAGACCAAAGGCATAAGTAAACCAAGCTGCTTGCTGAGCCTTGACAGTTATGGCATGTTAGCCAACTCTAAATTTATTATAGCTCTGTTTTTATAGCACATTGTGCCATGTTTGTGTTCAAAATTTGCATCAGCTTGGTTTAAGGTGATGCTATGAAATAGGTAGTCCCCTCACAGGGGGCCGATATTGCAGTGAGGCCGAGGTTTCATTCTTCCAAACTGGGAAAATCACATGAGAAATCAACTAATATATCATTAAAATGGATACCGCGTCTTGCAAAAGGCTATATTTCATCATGTATGACTGTGAAGGGCTTGAAAGAAGACCTTTAAATACATTTTCATTAGCTGCAAGCAGGAACTCATAATCATGGACAGAAAATAGTCAAAGAACTTTTATTTATGTAGCACATTTCCGTAGCCCAACAATTCAAAGTGCTGGACATGAAAAAAGCTAAATGAAGTACATTTCTGTGGCTTAAATGCAGTTAAATGATTAATCACTATGAATAACTGAAATAAAAAAAAAAATACCATTAAGATGTGATGATTTTGAAAAAAGAAATTGATAAAATGATTAATAGAAAAATGCAAGAAAAGTTGGACTGAAAATATTTCTAACAATGTTAAGACAGAACATTCAAATTTCACTCAACAAATGTTTTAATTCTGATTTAAAGCTAGTTAGCAACTGAGAGGTTGGCTGTTGATCCACTGACATGGAGTCTGAAATGTAAGTTGGAGCTAAGCTATTCAGCTATTAAAGTCTACTCTCTGAGATACATGGAGCCATTGGAAGGACTTTAGAACTGGGCTGATGTGCTCTACTTTCTCAGTTCTAGTGAGAATGCAGGCAGCAGCTTTCTGGATCAGCTGGCTGATGCACTTTCTTGGCAAACCTGTGAAGACACCACCTCAGTGTTCAATTCCACTGAAGATGAACCTGTGTATTAGTTTTTCAAGATCCTGCTGAGACATTACCGGTAGTCCTTTGATCCTGGAAATGTTCTTTAGGTAATAGAAGGCCAAGCTTGTTCCTGTCTTAATGAGCCTCTGAAGTTTTAGATCTGAGTCCATCACTGCACCCAGACTTAGAGCCTGATTGGTGGTCACTTGCTGAATTAGCTGAAACTGTGAACTAACTTTTAAACACTCTGCATGTGGTCTAAAAATGAATAGCAGAGGGAGTCAAAGTTGTTACTCGGTTCACCGTTGCCATTGGCTTAGTTCATTTACTTCCTAAAAAGGTGTTTCTCTGAGAGGGAAGTAGGATTTAGAAACATAGGACAGATTGGGGATACTATTACCTGGGGCTTGAGACCATACCTCCAATTGATTCTCAGGTTTTCGAAGCTTCTCTTTGGACAGCCGTCCACATTTTTGTGATTTTTAAAGAGAGTATTGTGGAAATATAGGTTCTTTTAATATTATTCATAGATGATATTGGATGGACAAAACAAATTAGAATTGCAAATGATGGAGGTACCAAACATGAAAACCTTTCACTCTTTTAAAACTACAGGTATTTTCTACCTCTAATTGGATCTGTTCTTGTGTAAAAATGGCCTATATGCATCATATCCAGCTTTATGAAAACTATCGGAGGTTTTAAGGGTAGTCTGTGTCTGTTATCTCTTGTATAGTTTGTCTGTTGTCCAGTCTGCTTATTGTGTTTTGAGTTTATCTTTTTATTTGTCTGCATCAGCCTTTTTAACTATGATCACACAGAATAAGGTTTCCTGATTGGAAATAATTGACTTTTATCTATGCTGTGTATGAGCTGCTTTATTTAGTCTCCCAATATGTAACTTGTCCCTTAAAGTGACACCATAAACTCCTTTTTCCCGCATGTCTTTGATCCTTGGTTGTACCGCTTGCTTCCTCTTTTGCACTCCCTATAGTAATCCCCATTAAGAGGCCCTGCATGGCTGATGAGTACAGGTGTGCTGATGGAACATGCATCCTGATGGAGTACGTGTGTGACAACAGACCCGACTGCGCAGACATGAGTGATGAGACCAACTGTGGTGAGTGTTTGATTGGCTGAGCTTGGCGTACTGGCTTCTTAATGAACCGCCCCCTTCGCTCGCTGACATGTACAGTACTCCAGTTCTCTATTTTAATAGTTTGATTGAAAATCTGTTCTTAGATGCCATGAAGTCCGTCCCTTCAGTGTTTACAACCCCCGCCGCTGTCACTCCCACTCCCCGTCGTGACATTGCACCAATGGGGCCCCGCCCCCCCACCCCGCCTTTTCTATGCAGAACAGATCAGGCCAAATGCCAGAGCGGGGAATGCATTAACCGAATTTATATCTGTGATGGAGAGCTGGACTGCAAAGACGGAAGTGATGAGCTGGCGTGTGGTAAGTTAAACGGTTCAACACATGATCATGTTTTATACTTTGATTGAAACCTCTTCATCTATATTCTGTTCAGATGTGGGTAGTAACTAGTTACATTACTCCGTTACGTTGATTTGACCAATTTGCCTTCTGAGTACTTTTACTTTACTTCATACTTTAACCTTGGTAATATTCTGGTGAAGCATCGCTAGTCCTACTTGAGTTGAATTTCCTGCTACTGAGACTCCAAGTAAATTATTGCTATTATCCCTGTCATATTTCTTTTTCTTTTTAACTTTCCCATTAACACTCAATATATATATATATTGACTATTTACAGAATTTTAAGTCACATCTCCTCATCTTTTGGGAATACTAACCTATGAATAACATTGTTTAACCATATTTATTAAGCTGTGCCTCTAAATTTAAACTCTTTTGTTGTTTTTATTATACTATTGTATGTCCTCTGTGCTTACAGCGCTTTTTGGCAACTGTGATTGTTTTAAGAACTTAAAAAGCTAAGGTTAATTTTTTTGGTTGGCGCTTAGCAAAATATGATAGGCATGGGTTGGGGTCCATAACTAGTTTTCCTGTCCAGGGCCCAGCCAAGGCTGTCTGCTGGCCTTCCCCTGATCTAGATCTTTATTTAAAATACCGTAAATTCTCTAATATAGGCCCGGGCCTTTATTTCACTCAAGTGCATCGCGGTCCAGGCCTTTATTGGATAGAGGGCAGTATTAGAGACAGGCCTCTATTGCTATTTGAGCAAAACAGACTACCAGTGGAATGAATAAAAATGAGATTTTGTGTCTATTTGAACCTATAAAACACTAGGTTCATTTATTGAAAAAGTACAGTTACCATGTCTCGCTTGGTTGAAGTAAAAAAAAAAAATAAAAATCCTCAAATTCTGTTCAATTCTCCTCCTCAGTTTCCTCCTCCTCTTCATCTCTCCCTTTATTCTCCTCATCACTCGCGCTGCTCCTCATGTTCTGCTGCGTGTCTGTTCTCTTCCTCGCGCAGACGGGCAGCAGCAGGGCCTGTCGTTCAGCTGCGCAGGGCTGTGGTACTTGTATGTTACTTACTACCACAAGTATAATGTTGAGGTATGCCCAGAAAAAACGTTTATAGCCCCGGCCTGTATTAGAGACCGGCCATTATTTACCTCCTCTGACAGCGAGACCGGCCATTATTAGAGACCCGGCCGCTATTGGAATACAGGCCAATATTAGAGAATTTACGGTATATCAGAGCTCTGAGACAGGCTACAATAACTAAGCAAGTAAAAAACGTACGATCACAAAACAATGTGTTCAAGTTTTATATTTGCTCAATTCCGGCAGAGCAAAAAAAAAAAAATACATTCTTTAAGAGATGGGTTGACAGTCTTAACAGTCTTGAGTCATTTAAAAAGTGCTAAAAACATTTTTATTGTAATGTATTTTCAATTACTTTAATACTATATTTGAAGTGGGCGACAGTTCAAGCCTCGGCTCCGGCTTTCAGTGTCGTTGTGTCCTTCGGCATGACATTTTACCCGCATTGTCTACTGATGGTGGTCAGAGGGCCCTATGGCGCCAGTGTAAGGCAGCCTCGCTGCTGTCTGTTAGCCCCAGGGCAGCTGTGGCTACAATGTAATTTGCCATCATCAGTGTGTGAGTGTGTGCATGAATGGATGAATGACTGAATATAGTATAAAGTGCTTTAGTCAAGTCTCAATACCTAAAAAAGCGCAATATAAGTACAGGCCATTTACCATATGAAGAGTTTTTAACTTTTGGTTGTCGTGTTTAAATCAATGTATAAATTGATGTTATGAATCATATTGAAATTTTTTAACGTGGATGTATGTGACATTTGACTTATTGACAGAAAGGTCATTTTTCAGGGAGTTAGACGCTAAACTGCTTAATCAAAACAACATGATGGAGTTCAACTTGTTCATATCATTCACGATTTGTCTGCTCTTTTTCAGGTACTCCGTCTCCCTGTGAGCCCAATGAGTTCAAGTGTAACAACGGCCGCTGCGCCCTAAAGTTGTGGCGTTGTGACGGCGACAACGATTGCGACGATGGCTCTGATGAAATTGATTGTCGTAAGTTATTCTTTCTTCATGGAGCAAAATGTAGATTTTACCAATGTATTCAGCATGCTTCATACATTACATCATCAGAAGGTTATAGATCATCTTTCATCCTCATAGCGACTGGTGACCCCAACGACAGATGCGATCCTAAGCAGTTTGTATGTCGGAGTGATAACACTTGCATCCCGGCTAGTTACCAGTGTGATGAGGAGCCTGACTGCAAAGACCGCTCCGATGAGATAGGCTGCAGTAAGTCTTACTCGGGCAACTGTCTTTTTAAAAAATCTTTTCCTAATTTACCTATTTTTCTGGGAAATATAGTAATACCTCAGAACAAAGGACCCTGTATTCAAGGCAAGACAGACATTGGGATTATTCAAAAAGCATTTTTATAAAAACACATCTTTGGTAGCAGCGGCTAGGGTGTCTAAGAGAGGAACCTCTGCAGGAGAGAAACACAGGTTAGTGACCACGATAAGCTGATGGAGGATGATTATTAACGTGTGAGTCACTAACCTGGTTTTATAGTTCAGTCTGTGCTCAGAGAACGAGTTAGTTTCCAGCCGGTCTTCTGGCAAAAAGCAGCGGTTGCCACCCAGATAGTTTGAGATGCTGAAGCCTTTAAGACTACAGAATTGACAGAAGATCAGATCCAGACAGGTAAAGGAAGGCAGGATAATCCTGAGGGCAAAGTCAAAGGCGGTGTCAAGGACATGCTCAGGATTCTGAAGGTGAATGTCAGAGGCACTAAGGGTTTTACGAAGGAAAATCCAGGTTGGTGTCAGGAATCTGTTCCAGGTTGTGTTAACAGGCAGAATCCAACAGGAGTCCGAAGACAGGTCAGGCAAAGAGATCAGAACAGGAAAAGGCAGGCTCAGAGGTCCAAAGGCAGAATGGGTCAGGAGGAGGTAATCAGAACATAATCAGGTATGCTAGAGAACTCTCACCAAAGGCTCCAGAATAATCTGGCACTGATGACTGGTTAGAGGGCTGGTTAAATATAAACTGGAGCAGATGGATCAGATGAGAAACTGGGCGGAGTAAGGCAGGAGAAAGAAATTAGTAATTAAGCCAGTCATCAGCGCCAAAAATCATGATAAACATAACTGTCAATAAAATGTATGTGTAGATGGTTGAAATTTTTTTAAGTCAATAAATGTTTATAGATTTGAGATTTTATTTGTTCCTTGTTGTTAAATCATACATGCATGTAATGTCAGATGTTTTATCATTGAGAATATAAGTTTAAAACACAAGTTACATCTTTGTTGAAATGCTGTTCTCAATGCACACATGATATAAAGCTTAATTTATAATTCTCTTTTCACTTTCTACTCATTTAACGTGGGTGCATTAGCGCCACCATTTGGAAAGGAGTTTTATCACGTATCAGGGGTTTTAAATTCTGCAACTCTGCTCATATGTCAGGCTTTTTATGTGGTTGTATTTGCTAATTTGCAATGTGCTGTTTCAGCCCCACCGAATGTGGTGAAGCCACCACAGGAGTCCATAGAGGTGGTGCGGGGGTCAACTGTGACATTCACCTGTGAGGCTTTTGGAGTTCCAACACCCATGATCACCTGGAGACTCAACTGGGGTCATATTCCCAAAAGCGACAGGTTGGGCTTCTTAAGATATTCTCCACATCTGTAAACAACAGGAGCCATTCCTCTAATTACAGTAAATAAAAACCATGATTTACAAGGGATTGTTTTCTCTTTTTTTAACTGATGCAGCTGGCATGTTGCTCTGCAACCTATAAGACACCCCTTCTTTTAGCAGTAAACTACAATTAAGCTTTTGACATTCAGCCCTCCCACTTTAAACCCCACCTTTCAAGGCCTGTGATTTTAATTACTAAGCTATTTGCTGTGTGCTCCACTCCAATAGCTGTGGTTGCAGTCTGCAAAACAAAAAGTCTTTGGAATTGTATTGCAATTTTCTAATCACAGACATGGCATCCCGCTCTAAGGTGTACATTTTAGGACATCCTCTGGGCTCAGGAAGTAGGTCTTTAGGTCTTAGCAATAAACCGTGTCAGGTCAAAGGTCACAGGAAAAAAAAGGGTTATATTTTTATGTTAAAACTGTTCAAATATGCAGTATGCTATATTGTAAGCTTTAGATAGATTTTTTTTTTTTCTGAATTAAAAAAAGAGATCTAAGACCTAAGACATAATAAATGTATTCCTTCGACCAGATAATGTATTTCTTGTGACTTGAGGATGTTCTAAAATGTACCTGTGCCTGCTCTGTCTGTGTTTTTTTTATGTATTTTAAACTCTGTGAAAATCAGAGATTTTTCTCCTCTTATGCCTACTAACAATGTGGGTTTGGAATTGGAAAATGTATTAGTTTATGCTCTGTGTCCCAAGGTTTACTATGACCAGTGAGAATGGCCGTGGCACCCTCACTATTCGCGATGTAAAAGAGGCAGACCAGGGGGCGTACACCTGCGAGGCCATGAATGCTAAAGGCCTGGTGTTCGGGATCCCGGATGGAGTGTTGACGCTCATACAAAATTCAAACTCTGGTACAGGATATAGCTATGGAGGAAAATAAATTACAGCAAGTGGTTTAATCTAAAAAAGCTTTTTGTTAAAATAATAGTACTGCAATTGCAGGAAATTGTCCTAATGGCCACTTCAGTGTGGGTAACCGCTGCATCTCCTGCTTCTGCGCTGGAGTCTCAAAGAACTGCAAGAGAACTGGACGCTACCGCAATCAGATCAGCCTGCGCTTCACTGAGGAAGACAATTTCAGAGGTACTTAAGTTGGTAATCATTGACAAATTAAAACACCTTGGCTTTACTAAAGGTTTTAGGCTAATCTCCCCTTTTTAAAAGCATGAACATCCTTATATTTAATATAGTATAAGAGAAAAAGTAGCTAGTTATAGTTATTAGTTGCTCAAAAACATTAAATAAGTTAATAAATCAGTTACTGCACAATCAAAGTAAGTAGTTATTAGCCAATGTTGCAGGGTTTTAAAGAGGAAAAGTATGCCGTCTTATATTGTGATTGCAATCAAATAATATAGCCATATTAAATCTTGAATGTAAAAAATATAATCAAACATCAATTTCACTGTCTTTCTTTTATACAATTC